AGGAGGAGGAGGAGGAGGAGGAGGAGGAGGAGGAAAAGGAAAAGACGGAAGCGGAGGAGGAGGAGGAGGAAAAGGAAAAGACAGAAGAGCAGGAAAAGGACGAGAGTCACAAGGCAGAGGAGGAGGAGGAGGAGGAGGATGCAGAGCACGACAACGAGTTTCTGCGTGCTGCCCAGACTATTCTTGATCGCCCAGAGTTGCTTGACGTCACCTTTGTTTGTGAGGATGGCAAGAAGGTGCAGGCGAATCGAGCAATTTTGGCGAGTGGGAGTGAGTACTTTTCCAAATTGCTTTACGGGGACATGAAGGAGAGTTCGATGCACACAATCACTCTTCCTACTGTGAGGGCAGGTAGTCTCCAGGTTGTGATCGAATACTTGCACTGTCATCGGCGAAGGTGGAAGACATGCCGTTGTTGGGATAAAATGGTTGAGGTGTACTGCTTGGCAGCAGAGTATCAGGTCAATCGCTTATGCCGGAGGATCTCAAGCCGGGTGCCCAGACTTGCTCATGCATGTGAATTTCGAGATCTGCTGAACGCAGCGATCCCGAGGGGAGCCGAGGAGTTGCTGACAGCTGCAGTGGAAGCAATGAACAAGGTGTTGGAATTAGATTCGACGTCGTTCAACGGGTGGAGCAACGAAAGCATCAAGTTCTGCCTCGAGAACGTGCAGCTCCATGCAAATGTCACTGAGACAATGATTGCTGAGACTATCCTCTCTGCTGCACATCCTATTAAATCGGGGACACCGGAAAGGGCGGAGAACTGTGATGCAGGGATAGATGGTACACTGTCAAGGAAGGAGTTGCAAGAGTTATTCGAGGGGTACGTCAACCTGGCATTTGTCGAGCCACCGTTTGTGAAGAAAAGGATTGAGCCCTTGCAAATCGTGCGGCAGGAAGTGCTGTCTGCAGTTTACAGAGTACAGTCCATCTGCCTCTCGACAGGATTGTCAGCCAAATATCTGTTTACAATACCGTGGCGCTCTCTGGTTCCCAGAATGTCATTTGCGCCTGCGAAAAGGGACGAAGATGGAGTTTGTAGTGCGTACAATGACGTCTTGGCCCCGTCTATATGGCCCCGGGATTCCAAGTCCAGTTACATGGTTTCAGAGGAGCACCCACAGCGAGTCGAGCGTGTACATGCATATGATATGGAAAATGCAGTAATGCGGTTACCTCTCTACAGTGGCGTGCACATTTGGAGAATCCGCTTCGAAACTTCTGGCGACGGGTTGGCTGCTGCTGGTATCATTTCGTCATCGGGTACAACTGACAGTTATGGCAGGCCAGAGGAGACAAATGGTTGGTGGTTAAAATCTGACTTAACATTCGATGCACCCAAACAATGGGCACCGTTGTCGAGATTTCCGATGTTTGGGATGAAGAAGTTTGATAGATCTAGGGGTTCTGTAGTCGTTATCTTGGACATGACTAGGGGGTCATTAACTTTTGCCGATAAACTAGGGCACTATCTAAATGACCGTGCAAAGTATCGTCCTGCCTTTAGCAATCTTCCCAGTGATTCCCCACTTTACCCGGCCGTGCGGCTCCCCTTCCCTGGTTGTGCTAACTTAGAGTGGATTCAAAGTTCCCCCCGTCCATAATGAGTCTGTCCAAGATGAGCTGAAGTTTTCACGGTGTCTGCTTTCCTCCTCGTCTCGTGGCATCAATCGACGCACTCGGACTTTTTGACCGAGTGCAAAGCCACTCATCGAGATAGTGGTCCTTGCCCATTTTGCTGTTGGGATGTTTTGGAAGTCAGGGTTGTGTATCCTTCATGAACTGCAACATCAACATCATAGCTACTTTCTTCCTCCGAATACAACGTACGGTCATTATAGCTGTATTTGAGACATCTTTCAGTCTAGATACAGCTATAATGACGGTACGTTGTAGTCGGGGGAAGAAGGGAGTTGCTTAGCACAGTATTCAAAGAAACATGATGCTGCTCACATACAGATGCAATGATGAATTGCAGTGAAGTGCGGGCTGTACACTAATTCGCTGCTACCTGTTTTGCGCTTTCGGGGATTCGATCCCATGACTGGAGTTGTGCGTGTTTGTTTGTCTGTGTGTACACTAATGTGTTTGTTGTTTCCTTGTTTTCAAGGCTTGTTTGGCTTGAACCTTGAACCTGTCGCTAGTAGTCTCTACTTCGTAGTCTTAGGCCGTTCAGCCTTGTTGTTTTGTCCTTTTCTGCCCTTCTAGAAACCGGCAGGCCCGTAGGTCTTCCTTTTTGTGTGTCCTAGCGTCAGGTTCCCTTAGTTTAGGTGTCCATCTAGATGCAGGTAGGTAGATCTTGACTGTTTGGCCATAGATGTTGGCTGTTTGGACGGTCAGATAGGTCTGTAGGTGGCTTCTGTGTGGTAGGCCTAGGAGGTCGGGTAGAAGTAGGCAGAGGCCGACGAATCTGGGTTCTGTTTTGTGATTTTTTTTATTTATTTTTTCCACGGAGTGCGGCTGGAGGTCGTGACTGGAGCTGCACTAAATCGAAGCGCTCGGTCCTCTTCTTCCTTGAAAGGAAGTGGACGGCCATAGCTGGGGTTACGGGGCTTCTGCATCTCTGGCCCGGGCACAAGGCCCAGCTCTGTGAGGCGCTCCTCCATCACTGTCCTGTTGGGGTTTGGTCAGCTGCCACCGAAGCTGCGCTGTTAGTGGTTCTTCTTCTTCGATGTGGCAGATCTTCATCTTCATCGAGTTGCTGTTCTTCTTCATCATCCCGGGAGCTGCGCTCCCCTGCTATCTGGACACTTCATCTGCAGTGGGCTTTTTGAGTGGTGCAGAGAGGGGTGTTGGACTTCGGAGGGTGTGTGGCGATTGGCAGGCTTGATAGGTTGTGTGCTCGCAAGCACCATAGCTAGAGCTTGAGGAAGAGGGAGGAAGAAGAAGACTCCCGGATACCTCGATGAAATCTTGTAAACAATTGGTCCATGGGTGTTGATAACGTGGTTGGGATTCTTAGAACAAGTACTCTGGATTGATTGGAGGAGGATGAAGGATTGCAGAACTGAAACTCGGTGTTTCAATTCTCTGTCTATTTTGAGCTTCCGCTGTGCATATCTTACTCTGCAAATTGCATGCGTGTATGGGAACGTGTGAATTCGTTGTGGATTGAACTTCAACCGGGTACATAACACACAGAATGTCTGTTTTTGTGAGCTGGACTGTTTGTGCGCTTTTTTTTATTTTTATTTTTTTTTTTGTTTTGTGTGTGTGTGTGTGTGTGTGTGTGTGTGTGTGTGTGTGTGTGTGTGTGTGTGTG